GTAGGAATAATTTTGAAAAAATATAAATTATATATGCTGCATCTTTATTTGCTTTATCTTAGTATTACTATTATATAATCATATCAAATACTTGTAAATAACTTATTATTTGTTGTATTTAAAAGCTTTGAATATCTGTTTATTCTTTAAAAAATCTTTTTGAAGTTGAATAATTCTTTCACAAAGTGTAGCAGATATTTCTTCTTCTTCATATAACTTAGTCAAAGATATAAAATATATAAAAAATATTATGAATGAAATTAAAAATACAAAAAATATCAAAGATACTAAAGATAGTATTAATATTAATATTAAAAATATAAGAGATATCAAAGATGATGTTGATATTATTATCATTTTGATTGACTTTTGAAATATTCAAGATATTTATAAAGATTAAAGAAATATTCAAAGGGAAACTTTCAATATCTTAACAATAATTCAAAGTATTAATAATACTTTATAACTATTAAATTGAATATGAATAAGTATTAATAATAGAATTACTTAAAGATTAATAATAGTTGTGTTCTTTTAACATAATAATCTGAACTGTTAAAAAGAGTTTTCAAAATCTCAAAGTCAAAGTTATAGAGATTCTAATATTTGTATTATTAGCAATATGAGATCAAAGATAAATAATATATTATTAGCAATAAAATATTAAAGGTAAGTTTATAAATAATGTATTATTAATAATATAATATTGAAAATAAGTTTATGAGTAATGTATTATTAATAATATAATCTCAAAGACAAATTTATGAATTATAATAATAATTTCTTTATTTATATAATATTTATTAGATTTTATCACAAATATATTCAAATAATCTAGTATTAAATTAATAACTTTTATAGCACTCCTGGTAATTTTGCTTAAACTATTATAATATTTATTTAAGATCTGTATAATACTTATAGCAATAATATTGAAGTAATTATATAAGAAACAAGAATACTTTGTTAAAAAGGTGTAGAAAGAAGTTTGCACTTAATTATCTACTCTACATAAAGTGCAAATTTTGTTCATATAAATAATTAAAACTATATAATAACTAATTATAAGATGATAATTAAGAATATTACTATCGAAGAACTTGTTCTAATTTAATTCTAATAGCTATAATACATGTTGCTTTTATACAAATTCAAACTATAATTCATCAACTATACAAATTCATATTTGCTAGTTCACTTTAATTTTATTGATTCAATATTCACTAATTTATTTGCTCATTTACTTGTTCATTTACTTGTTTGTTTATTTGCTCACTTGTTTATTTGCTTATCCCACATGACTAAGTTCTTTCAATAAGATATAAAATATTTATAATTCAATAATATTAAGTATAAATGATATAGTAAATTATTTGATTAAAATTTGTTATATAACAATATTAATATTAAAAATGTAAGAGATATTAAAAACATTGAAAATATATTACTTAATAATTCACTTGTCAAAATATTTGAAGACCTACTTGTAATTTCAAAAAAAATAGTGATTTTATAAATTTTTTTTATAGCAGTAACAAGCTCATTAGAAATATTAAATTTATAATAATATGTTATTTTTGGTATATCTTTTATTATTCTTTTTTCTTTTTCTATATTTTTTTATATGAGAATTATGATGAGAAAATGTGCATGTATTTTTTCTTTATCTTATTAACTTCTTTCTTCTTATTTTCATTTTCTTTCTTTTTATATACTCATTTTGACTTATTTTTTTTATTTCATCAAATTTACTATTTTTCTTCAAGATTTGCTCTTTTTTTATTTTTTTGACTAATTCTTTTTATTTATTATTATATTCTTGTAGAAGCTTAATAAACTTCTTTTATTTTATTATATAGAGTTTTGTATAATTAATAAAATCTAAAAATATATTATACATAATTTGATATTAATTAATTAAACTTGAAATATTGAATTATAATTTGATTTATTAATTATAAGTTATATTAAATATCCTATTTAGCTATTAATTATATTGATTATAAGTAAAAAAAATAATTTAAAAATCATTATAACTTATAAAATAATAATTTTTTTTAAAAATAGGATTGCTAACTTGTAATAAATTGGCTTAATTACAAATTGATAATTTTTTTTGTATTATCTTTTTAGAATATGTTACAAGCTTTTAAAAATTATTAATTTTATTTTAGTCTTTAAGTATCTTGTATTGTACTTAAAATTTATATTTGTCAAGAAGGATAATAATAATAGAAAAATAATAATAAAATTTAATAAAAATAAAATAAATTATGAATAAATAAAATGAAATAAATATTCTTATATAAAGAAAATATAATAAAAAATAGATAAATAATTATCTAAATAATTATTAAATAAAATTTTCTCATTATTTATCATAAATATAAATAAGTAAATAAATAATAAATAATTATTCTTTTATTAATAATTGATATTAATCATATTTTTGTATTCATTTAAAAATTCATATTAACAATAGAAATATAAATAAAAATAAAAGAAGTTTTTCAAAAGTAATTTTTGGTTCTTATTCCAAATATGATGATGTAAGATTTAACCAATCCCAAGAAATAAATTTTTAATTATCTTTTCTTCCTCTTTATTGAATATTTTACATAGTAAAATAACTTATAAATTTCTTAAAATATCTTTCAAAAATTATTCAATATGATATAATAAGAATTAATTCAAAAAAAATAGGAGTTGAACTTATTAATATTACTAACAAAATAAATATAATATAGATTTTACTAATATTATCTAATAATAAATAAAATATATTGCTCAAAATGACAAACTAACTTGAGTTACAAAGACTCCAAAAATAATAATAGACAAATTCTATTTAAATTTAAAAAATCAATATTTTTTAATTTATCAATAACATATAGTTAAATTTCTTTATAATCATCACTCTTAGGAAAGCAAAATTTGATAACTATAGAGAAAATGTGATTATAAAGAGATTTTTTATATATAAATGAGAAAGTAAAATAAGATAACTATAGAGAAGTGTGACTATAAATAAATGTGATTATAAAGAGATTTAATTATATTTATAATTTAGAAATTATGATATAGTTATCAATATAATTAATATATATTAATATAAAAATTGATCAGTAAAACAAAAATTTAAAATAAAAATTAAAATTAAAAGAATATGTGATGAGAATTCTCAAATAAGAATCTTTAAATAAGAAGACTTAAAGTTTTTTATCAAAGTACAGAAAGCTAAAAGCTTAAAAATCTCTAGTTAAAAAATCTAAAACTAAAAAATTTTAGTAAAGAAATCTAAAATTTTAGAAATCTATTTAATTTTATCTAAAATATATATTATATTTATAATAATTACTTATGATATTCATATTACTAATTTGTAAATTAATTTAGTTTGTCATTTTGGTAATATATTTTATTTATTAATAAATAATATTAGTAAGATCTATATTATATTTAGTTTGTTAATGATATTGTTACCATTTTATATAAGTCTTTGAGAGCTGGAGAATATTTAATAATGTTATAATAAGTTACTTTATAAAGATAATTATAAGTAAATTTATTAAAAATTATGGGTGAAAGAGTATAATATAATCAAATCTATATAATGCATCAAGTATTAAACTATGATTATTAACAAATTTAAAGGGAGGTAACAGTGTGTTCATAACATAATCAACTAGAATAAAATCTGGGATTTTTAATAATAGTATTTAATTATGTTAACATGCTTTATAATCTTAGCAAATCTTGTTTCTAGTATTCTAAAAAATCTTTATGACATTTGAATAAATTTTTCCTAAAATATCTATAAAAAATATGAAAAAACATGTTTCACCATTACTTTTTGCCAGAACTGTAATTAAATCTTTATTATCTTACTTCTTCTATATTTTATTTCTTTTTTGAACTATACAATTTCAGTAAAAGTTAGTATAGAACTTAGTTATATTTGTCTTATTATTCTTATTTTGTTTAATTTTCTCTTTCAATCCTTGTTCATATTTATTAGCTAATTTTACAATTAGTAAAAAACATATAATATATACTTATAAAAAATGCATTTAGAAAAATCTTATTATATTATATTGCATATAGAAAATTGAAACAAAATCATGTAATTGGTAAGTTAAAATGTTTAACACCATAAAAAAATAAAAATTTCAAATATCTTGAATTTTCATTATAATAATTAGCTTTAAAAATGTTCAACATGAAATTTTAGATATATTATCTTTGTAAAAATTATTTTCTTGTCTAGCAAAATTTCCAGTGAACTTGGTAAATTTGATGCTAAGCTACCTGGTTTTAATGTTCATCCAAATTTGTTGACCTTGCAATTTGATTGGTAAATTACGCACGTGATTACTTGGCTTAACGAATTTCTATATAAAATTTTGCAAGGTTCATCATTTTACAATACAAACAAAAATTCTTATTATTTACGACGCGCACTGTACATATACGTATTATGTTTTCTTTATAACATGCAACATTTGACAATAAATCTTTTTAGGCAAAAAAAACCTTTATTTTAAAGAGTCAAATATAGCGTGCTTTTTCATACAAGACATTTTTTCAAAAAGCTTTGTTAAATAATAGCGATAGCGGACATAAGATTTAAGTAAGAAAGTCTTAATGTTAATGTTAATAGTGCACAATAGAATTAATTTGAGAGTAACACAATTTCAACTCGGGTCTATTTGGTTACATTTTCGCCGAGTTATTTATAATTTAGACTGCCAATCGAAATTCTCATTATTTATGGCCGCAAATAAATGTACATGTACATATAAAACAAACTCCCCTCAAATAATACAACACTGAAGAACAAACAATTCAATCTACGTTGTTATTCAACAACAATTTATCACAATCTCTTTTTCCAGGTTGCTTTTTCCAGGGTTTCATTCATCTTTTGCTGGAAAAAGAATATAGCACACGAGAACTATTACTACTATTTTAGTGTATACTCTTGCTAGATACCCACTCAAATGTTACAGAATCGTAGTCTTGGCAAAAAACGAAACGTCACTCTCAATCTCAAGAGTGCGCCCATAGTTCAAATACAGCCAAAAACTCCGATAAATGGAAAGAGCAGTGGTGCAGATAAAGAAGGCAGTAAATCTTTAGGTCATGATGGTTTGACGGAACGTTTAGCTGACCTTGAAATTGGGGTAGAGTTCAGAATAGATTTACGTGCGGAAGATTTAAAGGTTTTAAATGAATTAGGCGCGGGCAATGGTGGTACAGTCTCGAAAGTTATGCATGTGACTACAAAGACTGTGATGGCTAAAAAGGTTAGTGTTAGTTTGATCTATCGAGATCATTAAAAAAATGAAGACATCCCTGATTTCATTATACGTAAAAAGTTATCTTTTGAATATTAAGACATGAGCACATCATCCGTTGCTATTGTTAATCTTTTTTTACTACTACATCCTAAAACCATATGTGTATGTTGTATGTTTATACCACGCCTGATAATCAGATCATACACATCGATGCTAAACCAAATGTCCGTAAACAAATCCTTCGCGAACTTCATATCCTTCACGAATGCAATTCACCATATATTGTGTCATTTTATGGAGCATTTATAAATGATGGTGATATTTCCATGTGCATGGAATATATGGATGTTGGGTAAGTCAAGCCTGTTGCATCATGTAACTTTCGTAATAAATAAATCACGTTACAGAAAGAATTAATTTCTCTACGGGAATTTCAGATCGCTCGATAATATTTATAGGAAAAATGGTGCCATTCCATTAGGTATACTTGGCAAAATTACACATTCGGTATGTTTCAGCATAAATAGAATAATTTTTTAATTTGTTCATTATCAAATGCATTCGGATTAATGTTTTGCCTAATCGCCTAAAGGTATTAGAAGGCCTTAATTATTTATATCAGTGTCATCAGATTATTCACAGAGGTAAGCAATACGAATATATCGTTGCCACTTTTTAACAATTGTTATCGATGTCTCATAATTATTTGATTTTTTTTCTATTAGACGTAAAACCTTCCAACATCCTTGTTAATTCAAAAGGTCAAATCAAAATTTGTGATTTTGGAGTTTCTGGTGAATTAATTAATTCGGTGGCAGATACTTTTGTTGGTACATCACATTACATGTCGGTGAGTATATGTTTCATTGATTTATTTGGTTTGCATGAATCTTAATTTATAAGGTATTGCTAATATTTTGCCGTAATCATCAGCCTGAACGTATTCAAGGTTCTCCATATACTGTAAGATCGGATGTTTGGTCTCTTGGTATTACTTTGCTGGAATTAGCTCTTGGAAGATTCCCTTTCCCCTCTGATGGTAGTCAATTGACTGTGTTAGAACTGTTGCAACATATTGTTAATGAACCTCCACCAGAATTACCAGCCGGAGAATTTCCGCCAGATTTTGACAATCTAGTACAGCAATGGTAGTGGATACAAAGAAATTTTGATTTATATGAATATTATTTAATTTTCGAAAATAATTAAATATTAACATTGAATCTTTGATTATTTATCTAGTTTAATTAAAGATGTTGATAAGCGGCCAGTACCTCACGATTTACTGGTTAGTATTCAAGTTCTTCAAATCATTTAATCACTATTTTCTTCATTGGTCATTAATACCTTTTTTAAATGCACATATATGATGACAGCAACATCGTTACGTAAGGACTTCTGCTCAATCGCGTGTAGATGTTGAAGCTTGGGCGAATAGCATTAAGCGATAAAGATTCGAAAATCTCGTAGATCTTAGATGAACGCGAAGGACCTTTTCCAAAAAAGAATGCGACCGAGGCAGAATTTATTATTTATGTTTAAAAGAATTGGAAGTTATTTTTTGGAATATTTGTATTTATTTTGTGAGACAATGGATTTTTGATTTTGAGATGTGATTTTTTCTTGAGTCAACTAGATCTTTTTTTCTTGTATAGTACACACACTTGAAGACTGAAATAAAAATGATCATCTTTAAAAGGAAATAATACGTCATACTGAAGTGATACAGGAAAAGGGAGTCCACGAATTTACGGATTTGTGGCCTTTTTCTAAAGTTTTGACAGTATATTTTGAAGTATGTCACGTTAGCTAAAAAATCGTGACATAGTCACGTGACTCCTCGATTTTTAATTATCGTTATCTTCCAATTTTACGATTTATAGTAATTGCCTTTTATATTATTACCGTTACGTTTTTTTCCTCAATTAGGTTCTTTTGTTATTGAGTGATCTCACGCTTTTTACCCATTACCACCATTAAATTTATCGGGATTTTTTTCAATTCTGGGATGATTGTCTCGGCGTTTCTTTTATTTAACGATTCAACAATTAATTTTAATCAAATTTTTGTCTTACGTACTCGTGTCAACTAAGGGAGAAACCAAAAAATCTTATTATACTTTACTTTTTTATTATAAAGTTATTCATATGAAATCAATCGTATATATTATTTGTTCAAGTATCACTTATTGGACACGCGTTTACCATCTATTACAAATTGAATTTAATAAAAAGCATCATTGTATATGTCAAAATTTATCTTTTTATTCTGACACTATTTCCTACAGTTATTATAAATAGTATTAAATCAAATCGTGTATGTGATATTAAATCAAAGATTATTTTTTTATTTTCCCTAATATTCAAACAAACAAGAATTGTATTTTTTCTATATTTTCAGTAATAACAGAATGTTTAGAAAAAATGCCATTTCACTAGAAATAGAAATAGACGAAAATTTTACTGGAATTATGTATGGAACACCAGACGAGTCTGCCGGATGTCAATTAAAAGGAAAAGTAGTATTAAGGAATAAGAAAACGTTCACAGCGAAACAATTATTTTTGGTGTTTACTGGGCAGATTTGTGTTACTTGTGGACCACTAATGTCTTCCAGACCTGAATGTAAGTGAAACAAATGATCGGTATAGTTATGATTAATTTTTACTAATTCAAATATTACAACTTTTTTATACAAAAGATTATGAAGAACAAACATTATATCGTAAATTGTGTTATTTTCTTAGTACCGAACACACCAACAAACAAATTCCTTCCGGAACACATGAATTCTACTTTGAATTCGATTTACCAGGACATCTACCAACTTCCTTTAAAGGAACTAGAGGGAAAATCGAATACTATTGCCACGCATTTCTTGATCGTCCTGTATTCTACAGTAACATGTCTTCTGAGAAATCCATTATAACATTAAAACGATGTCTAATGAAAATAAACACGACGATGGAAGATGAATCAGCCGGAACCAGCTTTAATATTAATCGTGATAGTATTAATAATGCACGATCTTTTTCTGAAGGAATGTTGGATAATAATAATGTTCAGTATCAGATTAGTACTCCTGTTATTGCTTATTGTGAAGGTGGATTGGTATCGGTAGACTTGTTTTTAAAACCTATGAATTCGGATATTACTATTGAGTCGGTTGAGTATGGGCTTAAAGAATATACTAGTTTTCATGTAAGTACATTTGTTTATACAATGTCGTGTAAATCTGTAATAATTATTTTTTTATTAATTAGACAACAGGAGAGGCGTCATTAATATCAGTGACAGCGAGTATATACGAAGAAACCTTTCCACTCGGAAAAAGAAAGATCAAACTCGGTGAACGTGCAAATATGATCCCAATACATTTTCGATTGTTTCCTCGAGTAAAATGCGATCTAGAAACGAAATTAATTGAACTTAATCATAAATTATCGTTCACAATTACCGTAAGAGAAGGAAGAGAAGGAAGAAGACAACGTTTATCATTGCCACAACATCATCAATTTGATGATACAGAGCAATGCAACTCTCTTAGAGATTCTGCAAATATTATACGTCACCGAATATCATCCAACGAACGTCGTCGATATCAATATATAAATTCATTGGAGGCACTTGAAGGACGACGTATTACAGAATCTTCACAATCACGTGGGGTTAATAACAATAGCAGCAACAGCAAGAACAAAAGCAACACAAACAGCAACAATTCAAAAAGACGCACATTCTCAATGTCATATAGATTTTCAGCTAGAGGACGTGACAACGACGATGATGAGGAAAAAAATATTCGGATGTTGCAATTAGAGGTTCCGATTATTGTCACTTCTAAGCCTATTATCACTAGAAGTAATAATCAGGATGCTACTGTTGCTAGTAGTGTGTCTGTAAACAGGAATAGTATATCGTTGTCACAATTCAACAATAACACCACCAATAATACCGATAATACCGATAATACCGATAATACTGATAATACCGGTAATACCAATAATACTCTTTATTCGATAAATGACGATCTTCCGTCTTATGGAACCGCGACAATGACACCATCTCCACCTAATTATAATTTACTTGTAAATTAGCCTATCGTATCATACAATTACAAACAGTTGCAGTAAGTCTGTCTCGACACACCGAATTTTCAAAGAACTGCAATTAATCGTAAATGGAATCAAATCAATTTGACTTTTAATTTTCGGCCATATGATTGATATATTTAATTACGATTTCTCCCTTTTCTTATTTGTTTGCAAAAATATTAAAAAGCTAAAAAATGTTTAGAAAGAAACGCAAAGTTAAAAGTGTACCCGCTTTTCCTGATAATCTTTACGACACTGGCTACATGATTGATGAATCGGGCCAACTTTGTTATCTTTGTGGTAAAACCACATTTTTATTTAGTTCACTCCAATATTAATAAAATAAAATAAAATAATAGATGAGAAATAAAAATAGCACGTAAAAATGCAAGTAAATTTATTTCAAATTTTAAAAGGGAAACCATATAATTTCCACGATGGATTGAGAAGGGAGAGTATTCAGCTATATGATCATCTTGTTGGTAATTGTAATTCTACATATTAATATAGTAAGATTTTGTTTTTTGGATGCTCTATTCGCAAATTTTTATGCAAATATTTCTTTCCAAAATAAAGATCTTTTAACAAAACACGTGTGTGAAGCTTTTGTGAATACTCACGGTCTAAAAGAGATCTTAATTCCTTTTGGAGCGACCCAAGAAGGTGTCCACTCTCGAATTTTTGTGAGGTATTTATCATCAGCATTAATGAAATATCTTGGAATGACATGAATAAATGATCCGAAATTAATATTATTTCTTGTAGTCCGGATATATTCGAAAATGAGAAAATGACGGTCTTTGTTCCGTGCACTGGATATCCGTAATTATATTCTTTTCTAAAGATGCTAAAAATAGAAAAAGCGAATTGATAAACCTTATTTCGCAGAGTCGGTGTTTGGTCTCGAAGAGTAATGGTGGATCATTCTGTTCCGGTAAATAATACTCGTTTTTCTTCATTGTAGAATTCCTCAGTTCTTACTAACAATCTAAAAATAACAAAAAGGAGGGTTCTATGTTGAAATACACCAAAGATGCCCTTGATCTAGGATTCTCTTTGATTATCACAAATCCGAACGAAGTTTACTGGTGTAATGGAAAACCGGTGGCAAGTAAAGTAACATTTACAAAACAGATTATCAATTAAAGTGTAATTATTTGTTTTGTTTTATAACAATAGTTGGCATTACCGCGAGCTTGCGCTGATTATCAGCCTATACCAGGTTTGAAATTTTGTCGTATAGTGTTACTCAATGTGGCATTCTTATTTTTTTCTGAATTTAGAGAATGATTCTCCAGAATCTCATATCGATTACATGTTTAAGAATTTTATTATGCAAGTTTTTATTTTTAAATTTTTCTATTGTGATTTTGCATTTGTTAATGTTTTTTTTCGAATTTAATATGATATCGATATATATAGACCATCACCAGCTAAGAAAATATTTATTATTGCTGATACATATGGCGGGCATTGCGTTATTAATTCTATGCAAAATCATTGTACAAGTTTTATTATTCGTATTGATATATTTATATTCTTGAAAACAAATAAATAATCATCTTATTTATTTTAGTTGAAATACTCAAAAACAGAGTGAAGGCCATCGATTTTGTGACTTCTACTCATTCTCTCAAGTACATCAAATCAGGTGCTCTGAAAGTTTGGATTCAAGAGGCAAGTAAATAAAAACATATAAGAATGCTTCAAAAAAGTATTTATCAGTTATCCTTCTTTTCTAATTAGCATTGTCGAAATTGGGTTATTTCCGAAAAAAGTATCGGTGAAGAAGTTGTTGATCCGCAATTTGGATGTGTGTGCCTTTCTTCTGGTAGGTGATTGTAATATTTCTTTTTCTTTAAACTGTATAATGTCTAATTTTATCTGTCTTTTTATCTCAAGGACACACATTACAAGAATTCATAATTCGGGATGTAAGATCGATGGTATTTAATCATTTTCTTCGAAGACTTACCAATGAGCAAGAGCAGCAATTTGGTATTTTGGATACTCGAGATAGAAACGAAAATGATAATGAGAATGATCTCATCATCGAGATGGACGACGAGAAATTTGTACAAGAAATGGAAAATACCAAAATTGTAGATGTTTCTGAAGGGATCGAGATTTTGGGCGTCTGTGTTCCTTTGGGCGAGAAGAAAAAAGAGTCGTCTGGCACTGGAAAATAGATTGGCCTATACATGCAACATTACTGATATACTATTAATATTACTATTCCAGTATTAATTCCTATCGCTATTACTATTGTTAATATAAAACAAATAAATAAGGTTGAGAAATTTCAAATAGAGATTTTGGTAATAAATCTGGTGTTGTATTTTGAAATTGAAATATAACTATATATTCTATATTAAACTTCGAATTTTTCCAATTCAATTTTTAATTTAGTCTCGAAATTTCGATTTTGGAGTATGGCTAAGTAAATGACTATAGTCATAGTAATGAAAGTAGCAAAATTCGGCACAGTCACGATAATGGACGCATAAATCGATGTACTTATAAAATTTGGTGGTTTTGAATATACGGCGTGTTTTTGTTGAAAAAGGTTTAGTTCAAGTTGCATCTCTATGCCGGTTGAATTAGTTTCCTGTCGAAACCTTATTGATAAACCTGTCAAAAGTTAAACCTATATTAAAAAATCTTATTAAAGAATCCGTCAAAGAGTTTCGACTTTGACATATGCAAATGAAGTTCAATGAACACAATTGTTTCTATTTTGACTTTGCCAGACGTATCTGAAGGATGTTTCTGTCAAGGAATATCATACAAGTTCGCAAATTGACGGAATTCAATTAAAGGTATTTTGTCGGTAATCCAAAAGTTGTCTTTGGGTTTTGATGGTGCTCAAAACAGCAAAATCTTGCTAAACAATAAGTCAGAAATTGATGCAATAACTAGCGCACTGGTACATGAATTAGCTGAACATATTTCAGATCCTTTGACTAACGCTTGGTACAATACAAACTAATATTGCCTGGCATATTTTAGCTTGTATAGTAATAAATCAATATGCAATGGCCCTCGATCACCTGAAAGATAAATTCTGTAATGCAATATACACAAAAAATGTGTTATTTTATTCATCACTTGTAAAAGAAATTAAGTTTAAAAATTCTTACAAATATTTCTTATAAAGCCATACAATTTTTTGGTTTTCATAACCCGGCCGGGTCATCAAAACCAGTTTATGAAATTTATTTTGAGGCGCAGTCTAATGTTGTATTGTAAAAAGCATCAAACAAGTTTATTTTTTTAGCCCGATAACTTCAGGACGGGATATTTCGCGATCGAACTATCGCTATCGCTATTATTAGATCTATCTTAATTACGTAAATTGGATGATGGTTTGATCGCGAGGTATTGCGTCCCGAAGTTACCGGACTAAAAAATAATTGAATTCATCAAATTTTTTGACTTTAAAAATAAAAAGCCGGGTTGCCGGATCATTTTTACATAGTCATGTGTTGTTAAAACAAAAAAATTTTGTTTGTGGCCTAATTTCTTTTCGATTAATTATATGTCTTGAATATGTTTTTAATTAATTGTGTTAAAAATTTACTATTTAGATCAATAGCTGATTCCTATAATTCAGCTTGTATATAGATTCTTGTAAAAAAATTTTTAATCTCACTCCATAAATGTTTTATAAAATTAAATTCTGAAAATTGCAAGTATGTTATATTATTCTGAAATTAGTTTTAGTATGTTTTGTGCTAAAATATAATATTTTCTTTATCCAATTCATAACACTGGATTTATTTTAACAAGTTATAATATTTTGTAATTATAACTCTCTGTTTATATTACCAAAAATAAATATAATATTACTGATACTAAAAAATTATTATATTTCATTTTAATATTTAACAAATTTAATTCATAATTAAAATACAAATCAAAAAGAACTTGAATTCTGTAAATATTTGTATAAAGATACACAATTAATTTTCAAATAATACCCCGTTAGCAAATTTTATAAGAATTTTTCACTATTCTCAAAATTTATACACATATATTTTATAATTTATATTAATAAATTTTGAAAAAGTGAAAAAATTATATAATTTTAAACAGAATTTTTAATAATTAGCATTTTTCAGTTTTTTAAATTAAATAAGTTTGAGAAATGTTAAAATACTTTCATAATATCCAAAATATATATGCTATATATATATCAATTATTTATTTTGAAATTATTAAATACAAATAATTTTGATATTAGTTTCTGGTCGATATATAAATTATTAATTAAATATAAATTCCAATAAATAAGATTTTTCAATTAATTTTTAAAAATAATTTATCATACTGTAAAACTTCTTAACAATATTTGAACTAAACGATTTATTTTTTTAAATTGAAATATCCGAAATTTCAATTGAATTGGCTCATTCCAGGTACCCTCCCAATACATTTTGAGAAGAATCGGTAACTTTGGGACGCGATCTTTTGTGATTTAGTGATCTAATTTGGATAAAAATGCCACCACTCGATTTGCCTAGTCAAGGCAAATTGAACGGTAGTATTTTTATTCAAATTAATCCACTGGTCACAGATATCGCGTCCTAAAGTTATCAATTTATTTTTTGACGATTTGATAAAACTTTAGGACGCGATATCTCGCGACCCAGTAAACCGATTTGAATAAAAATACTACCGTCCGATTTTTCTTGACTAGGCAAATTGAATGGTGGTATTTTTATCCAAATTAAACCACTATATCACAAGATATCGTGTCCCAAAGTTACCGATTCAAATAAATTGGATTTTTCTCTCCTCGAAATGTATTGGGAAGATATCTGGAATGAACCAGTTTTTGACAAAAAATACTATTTTATTAATTAATATTTAAAATGTCATAGTACTTATCATTTTATTTTGAGATGGATTATTATTCAAACATAAAAAATATATAATTTATTTCAAAAATTGCTTTTATTTTTTAATTATAATTATCAAGTGCTAATATGTAAATAGTATAATCAAATTGGATAATTATAGAATGACAACCATAAAAGTATAAATATATATAAAGAGATTTGATTATATGCCAAAACATTTCTAAAAAGCATAATATATTTTAAAGACATAAATATTTATTGAATTAATTATAAGTTATCAATTTTTAGTAAAATTTATATGAACAGGTGAAAATAATTAGTCAAAATTAAGATACTTATTACTCAACCTATTTTACGATACCATTATACTTAAATTCTATTGGTTGAAAATGATTATGCTATAAATCACAATACATAGTGACTCTCGTTATAACGACCCTCCCGGTTCTATTAGTAAAAATGATCAAATTGTCGTTATACGTTATATTGAGTGAGATTTTCTATGTCTGCTAATAATCGGGTATTGAGAGTCATGTCATTATATCGAGGGTTTATTATATCAAGGCATCGTACCTCTTTGTAACTCTGATATCATATGATTTGCAGTCTCAAATTTTGCCGCGTGACGCAACACTTGATGGATATAATCATGCATACATTTTGTATGTTTTAAAATTTTATAAATGTTGAATTTATAAAACTTAATTGCACTATCGTTATACATTATACACAGATTTGAAAACTTTCGTAACACAATTTTTTGGGATTTTGTTTGTGATTGCTGCTGCGCATAACAATGATTTTTGCATCAGATTTACGATGTATGTTAAAGGAAATCGGTATACATGTACGTATGCATTTGAAATGCAAGCAAGAGTTATCCGCCAATTATTCGCACGACATGAATTAAATTTTGAAAAATCAATAAAAACATACTGTATGCTGAACACCTAATCTGCCATTTGCTTGCTTTTCGATTACTGATTTACCGACTCACATTCATTGCATAAATTAAAAAAAAATAAGCTTGCATTCATGAACACGACACGAATAAATCAACATCATATGGAAATTTTCACTATGTCAGATTGGTGATGGACACATCAGCTATTAAAAATTCTTGTGTTAATTAGCATTCATTCTATGCATGTAATGCCTTACGTCCTGTTGAACATGATCGCTGTGTTTGGTGTTTAATGAATATATATGATTTACTTCTAATGGTTATTTTGTTTTGAAGAGAATTTCCGTCTAACGAAAAAAGAATCTGCGCCGAGTCATTGGATAGAAACACACAACTGACTTAGCGTACGTGCGTACATATATGCCATAATGTGTGTGGTTCTGGTTTCATATGCTATAGCGATAGCTATTAGTAGATATTATTGTTATCTATAAAATAGAATAAAATAAAAAGATTCTTGCTAAGGGAGAGAATAATAGAAATAGAAAAATGACGGGAAAGAAAAACGGAACCAAAGAACGAATGCCAAGGAAAATAATTACAAAGTCGATGCTCTGGTGACTTCTTACTCAGCTATTCGATTATTAAATATTTATTACGCGCATATTACATTACACACATTCGAACTTTAACGGTTATGGCAATAAATTGTTTCTTCTCTTTTTCGACGAATTTCAAATTCTCGAAACAACAGAAGATAAATTAATTAAAAATGTGCACAAGAACGAACCAAAAAATCCGTTAATGCTATTCATCTAATTCCCAAATGATGGTTCTTTCGTCATAATTAATTATAGAATTTAATTGATGTTGACGCAGTATTTTAAAAAACCAATTATAATAATCGAATAATCAAAAAACAAGACGCATCCTAAAGTTGAATCGAAACAACGAACACTTCGAATTTCGATATTTCGTTTGATTTACTATACTATACTTGGCTGTGTTATACGCCAGAGGCTAATTTAATTTTTACTTTTCATTTGCCAGTTCTTTTCTTCTTTCTTGCGTCAAGTCATCACTTGACAATATCTCGATTTTTAATTGTTTGTTTTACACGATATTCATCTAAGGACAAAAGCTCTCGCGCGTATGTCACACATACAAAACAAAGTTTCTCCCAGTATTTTTTTTTAATGCTGTGTCTTTGCACAATAAAGTTATTTTTTTTATTACTCCTTGAAGGCAAGTTTCCGGTTTCATCTTATTCGCCGAATGAGATTTTGGTGATTCGTTCAACAAATTCCATGATTTAATTGCTGTTTGTTCAATCGATTATTAATGTTTGGGTTTTGAGAAACACACCTGTGAAACTAACCATCACTTGACTCTGTAATCTTGGATGTGTGATATATTCATCAAT